CTGCATTTTTCTTGTTGTGGATTATATTAACGTTAAAAGTCTTTTACTTCGTTAATATAATTTCTAAGATGTTAGACATTTAGAACTGACCAAATTCTGTTCAAGTATATTAGCACAACCCAAAAGCAGTAGTGCTGTTGCTGTATGTGTCTTTGATATTACTTGTTCCTTCACATTTTAATAGTTTTGTAATAGCAAAAACACATGTCCGAGAAGGAATTTGACATCATTTAAAATTATATTTCCCTTATTCTTCTTGATCAAGGAAGGAACAAAATGCCTTTTTTTAAAAAAAAACAAACCACAAACCAAACAACAAAATGATAAAAAGAAAAGGAAATGCAGTCTGGAGGAATAAACCTGTATGTAAAGTTGGTATTAATGACAATAAAGTTTTATTTCTGGAAAAAAAAAAAAAAGGACTTGTCACACTTTGTATTAAAAAAAAAGTGTGAAAACTGCATTTATTCTTGAGAAATATATATAGCGAGGTCTTGTCTCTGCTGTGTATGTCTGTAGGGAGATGTCCTGAACCAGTTTAACCGCAGGGTTTTATTCACAGATTTCTACTTTGAGTCTCCCATATTGAGAGGTACTGAGCTCACCTCACTCGTCAGCGCGTCGGGCTGAGATCACGCCAGTGCGTTGTAACCTTGGAGCACTGCGTGACGTGTGCAAGTGCCGTGGTGAAGTGTGAAATATAAAAACGGGAGGTAAACACAGAGCCCACGCTCAAAGATGCTCGCGTAGCGTATGGGGACTGTTATATAACTTATTTTTTTTACTTTGAATATAAGCTCTTTAATCCTGAGCAAAATCAGATCTGTGCCCAATTATTTCTCTGTTCCATTACTGTACCTGTGCTTGCGTATGTCGAGAGCAGTTCAGCAGTCAACGTCCTGCTCTTGCGTTGCTGTGGGGTGTGTGGGGCCTCTCTCCAGGGCTGGCACACGCTGCCCAGAGGCCGGAGCTTCTCTCCTTGCTCTTCTGCCGGCAGTCCCGCAGGACACGGTGCTCTGTGAGCCTTGGAGGAATGCTGTCTGCACGCTCAGAAGACGTAGAAGTTAGGAATTGTCCTTGAAAGAGCCAAGAGTGAGATGTGCCTGGAGATGCTGGGTTTTCTGTTGCCAGAGGGGCCCACTGATGATGCTTTAGGATGAAGCCAGTCCTGATGAACTACTTTTTTGTCTGTTCTGTTGCATTGTGTCTCTCCTATCGCTTTTGTTTTTCTCCTACCTATATTTGTCTGTCCATCTTCTTACATCATGCTCTGGCTTTTTCTCCACCTCATGTTCTGTTTTTAAATACACTCAGGGCTGAGGAGAGGGTGACTGACCTCTGCTGATGAAGCAGAATATCCTGGGGATGTGCAGTTAGAGGCATTTTCATTCCCACAGTGTGAAAAGGAAGAGGCTGCCCTGGCATTAAGACATGCTCGGGAAGAAAAGGGAGCATTCCCTCCGCTCTTTGCCTGGATGGCTGCAGCACAGCTTCTGCTGCTTGCTAAACACAAACATGCTGCTGCTGTCTTTGCAGAAAAATAATCTGGTGGTTAATTCCGAAAGTATGTTGGGTTTTTTTGGTTCTGTTGTTGGGGTTTTTTTGTGTATTTCTTCTTGCTACTTCTGAATTCTGCTCCCCAGAACACTGGGCTCTAGCAGATGGTGACGTAGGAGTGGAAGAAGCCTGGTACTTGCCAGGCAGATATTCCTGCAAGCAGGAGCGCAGTTCCCGCTCCCTTGCTCGGAGATGCAGCAGGTCTTCACAGCTTGGTGATGCTGAGAAAGGCAGTGAGAGCACTGCTGTGGTATTTGGGATGAAAAAAACCAAAACCACGTCTTTTGGTGGTGGTGAGGGGCTGGCTAAGCATGATGGTACCTCAGCAGGGGTAGCTGCCTGGCCTGAGGCTGTGCACCCCTGTCTGGGGTAGCAGCTGTGACCCTTGGTCACCATCTTGCCGCCTGCCTGTGGGACCTCGGTGGGGGCCTGGCTGTCACTTGGTGGCTGCGGGGTTGGCTGACGATGCTCTGGCTGAGCCTAAGCAGCACCAGCCTCTCCAGCACCGACCGGTGTGCTTGTGTTGCCGGAAGCTTTCTGGTGAGCCAGTAAGTGGTTTCAAATTAAGCCTGAGGCTGAAGGCCTTACCTAAGAGGGGTATAAAGGCGAATATTTTAATTTCCTCCCCTGAAGGAAATTAATTGGCACTGGTCTGTAACTTCATGGGTGCAGCTCAGGTGCTTCTTGCTTGACTGGCTCTGTCTTGGGAAAGTCTTGCTCAGGGAACATTTAAGAACCAAACCTAATGGCTTGAGGCAGCCTCACTGTCTTGCTGTCACCCACCCACCCCTGCTGGCCACAGGGAGCTGTTTCGAGGGTCCCACTAAGACACGTTCTTCCTTATGCAAACGAGCAGGGGTAACTTGGGAGGAGCTCAGTAGCAAAGGCTGCTCCGTGCTGTGTTTTATTTACAGCAGATACTTCCCCCTATTTACAGCAGATACTTCCCCCATAAGAACAACAGCAAGTGACTCAGATTTCTCCCAAGTGCTTACAGAACGCTTCCTGCACCTCCCTGTGCTGGTTGGGAGGTCTATAGCAGACTCCCACAGCAGTATTAGCTTTATTGACCCTTAACAAAATCCAGGTACTCGCCACCCCATCATCATTATACTTGATTGCTGAGCTCTCACAGCATTCCCTAAAATACGGGGCCACTCCACCACTTCTCCTTCCCTGTCTATCCCTCCTGAAGTGCTTGTAGCCATCAACTGTGGCACTCCACTCTGAGCCTTGCCACCACATTTCTGTGATTGATAGCCACTATGTCAGTTTTCCTCTTGCATCATGGCTTCAAGCTGCCTGTTTGTTGCTCACACTGCGTGCATTGATACAGATGCACTTCAGATGAGCTACTGATCCCAACACCTTTTAGTGAGCACGGGCCCATTTCCTACCACCCTTCTCAGGTGTAAACAGTAACAACTCTTGCCTTTTCATTTCCCATCATATGTCTATCCCTCGTCTCCACCGAGATGGCAGAGTCCTCGCTAGCACACCAGCCTACAAGTCCTGACGTGCTTCCCTTGGCCTTATTCCTGGCAGGCCCAGTTATATTCCCTTCCCCCTTCATATCTAATTTAAAGCTCTATCAATGAGCTCTTCTAACTCCTGCTTCCAGACCCATTTCCACCTCTGGGACAGCTGTCTTGTATAGCAGCCCATGATCAAAAAACCCAAAGCCCTGTCGGTACCACCAGTCCCTGAGCTGTGAATTGATCTGATGGCTCTTCTTGTTAATTCCTTCATTCCTGACTGCCCCTGGAGGGACAGAGAACACAACTTGTGCTCCTGAGCCCTTAAGCAGCTGCCCCAAAGCACTAAAATCTCTCTGAATTGATTTGAGGCTTCTTGTAGCAACTTCATCACTGCTCCCCTGAAGGACCAAAAAGGTTTCCTAGGGTGGGAAGTTTGCACAACGTATCCTTAACCCGTGCCCCAGGGAGGCTCCAGACAGCATATTGGGCCCTCTGCCCCCTCAGGAAAGAGTCACCCACGACACTCACTCATCTGCTTTTCTTTTTGGAGCCAGTTGTGATGCTACATCTAGGGTGACTCGGTCTTGGCGGCACTTTTGGCCTGGGCGAACCATCCACATCTCCCAACAGCCAGTACCTCCTGCAGGACCCCCTATCTGTTCTGCAAGGGCAACGGAGAAGGTGAGGAAGGCTGGGAGGGGATTCACCTGTCTCCCCAAGCAGTCAGTGACCGCAGGAGCCTGGCAGCTGCTATCTTACCTGCAGAACTAAGCCACGGCACCAGCTTTTGTTATGTGTCATTTTAAATGCTGTTTTCTCCCTCAGAAGACACGAATAAATACAATTCCTGTATCAATTCATTACTGAGCCGACAAGGTTGCTGTAACTCATTAGCACAGGCTCCTTTTCTTTTTTCCTCAGTGGTTCACTCCTAGCCCTGATACAGCGCTGAGCTCCCCGCAACAGCTTTCCCCGCCCCCCCCCGCCGCGCCGTGCTACAACTTGTGTCCACTTCTCTATTTCCTGGCTGGTTTGTTGACCCGGCCTGTCTTTCCTCCTTTGCCCCTCACACCTCCTCCTTGAGACAGGAACGGCTGTTTGTCACCCCTGCACAGCAACCGCAGGGCACAGCTTTCGCCCAAACACAGCCCCTGACTGCTGCCCACCACTGCTGCCCTGCTGCTCAAAGTGTTTCACCATCCTGCTGTAAGGATCTACCTGGAGCTTGATCCCACAACAGCCTCCATCCTCTTGCCCTCCCAGGTAAAAAGAAATGACAGTTATACACCTCTTGCCTATTTATACAATAAGCACTAAGGTTACACTTTATTTACAAGTTTTGAAAAATGTACAGTTTCTTACATGGGTTACTTGTGCAAAGTTAAACTTCTCAACTAACAGACCAATGTGCACACAAAAGACACGGGAACAGTGGACAACACAATTGTAGGTTTCATCCCACACTGCTGCTTAAGGTACTGTATCCAAATGTACAAACTTAGCCTTACAAAAAAGTGAGTCTGGACTTACAAATGTTTTTTTTTTCAGAGTTGAAAAAATACTTTCATAAAACTGAAGGGAAACTCAAGCATGCAGCAGTAGCTCACACAAACCACACAGTAATCTACAAAGAGCAGAAACTGCAGTGACTCAAGTGCCTACCCCATACTTTATTCAAACTTTCCAGAAGGCAAAGTTGGATCCCAAGGAACTTATCTTTCTCAGCTAAAGATAAGGGGTGGGAGAAAGACACTGAAGGAGAATAATTCCACCACTGGAACACTTCAGGTTTTTACCTTTTCCTTAATTCGAAAGGTCTTTCACTCAGAGTACCACAGCTCTACCTAGTTTGTCCAGTCATGCCTCCATGAGAGGACTACAGAAACTTACTGAAGCGGTCTCTGTAGGCATGTCCTTTAAAATTCATTTTTCTTTTAAAAAAGAGAGGTTGTTTCTCACTCTAAGCAAGTACCACAATTGTAGTGATTTATGTATATTTGTACATAAATCTCATGTGTGAAGTGCAGAAGTAATTAGCATTCCACAGTCTTACTAGATAGTTGAACTGGAATCAATTTAGGGGTTGCTTGTGGTTTTGGGGTTTCGGTGTATTTTTTTTTATCATGAGTAAGGAATTGATAAACCAATACAAAAGGGGAAACAAGAGGTTATTTCTTCACTCAGTACTTACAAATGCAGTGGGGTATAAACCAATAGTAGAGGTAAATGACCAGCCTGGACACATCAGCACTTTAGTTAATATCAGTTAAAAAAATGTGTATGTATATAAACATCCCTTTTATCAAGCTACACATAAGCATCACTGTGTATAACACAATTACAATTAAAAGCTTAGTGTACACTACAGAAATGCACAATACTGCCCTAAGACTGGAGAGGGACCACAGAAAATGAATTCAGCATCAGTAACTCTTTTGCAAGTAACCCAAGTACAGAACACTTGACTTCAAAGTGGGTGCTTTCTGATGTCCGAGGAGAAGAAGCTTCAGCAAGGGAGGGTGGCAACAGCACAACAGCTATTCTGCTTTGAAAGTAAATGCTAGGAGGAAAAAGATGACTGACACTTTGTTAATTTTCCTCATCAACAGAGTGTTCATTTGCATCATCCTGGGTCAACAGTCACGCCAGCTCTGTTCTACTATTGCAGAAACCCGTTTTTCATATTCCCGCTTATTCTCTTGGTATAGCTGAGCTGCCTGGCTGTTTGCTGGACTGTTAGGATTTGGCTCATCCAATAGAGACTGCACAAAGAGAAAAAGATTCTTAGGCACTAGCATGTAGACACAGCTTTCCAACATCTTCCTTTAAGTATCCACACTGATAAGAGTGCACAAGTTACTCTAGACACAGGTGAAGCACTGCATTATTCCAGTTTTATCAGAAGCTTTCACTGTCGCTCTGACTCTCAGCAGTGCAGGTGACTGACTGATTGACAGCCAAGCAGCAAAACCCGAGCAGTGCAATCGCTGGATGGGTCCCTTCAGCGCCCACCTGCTGTCACTGCGCAGCCAGTTTATGTCTGAGGAGTACTCGTAGTTTAGCAAATAAAGTATTGCTGCTATACTGGCTAGCAGGAAAAAGGGGAAGGGGGGAAAAGGGTGTTTCCTGAGCTGTTTTAATCAAAGCATCTTATTTTCATTCTGCCTTTTCATGCAGAGCTGTTTTTACCTGTATGGATGTTAAGATGGAGGAGACATCGTAAGTAGGACTCCAACGATTCTGAAGGATATCCAGACATATACTACCATCTGCATACACTAGAAAAGGTTCAGAAAGAATGGCTTAAAACAGAAGTTGTAGAGCTACTCGGTTTTTTTCCTAGTATTGCCTGATCCTGAAAACCTGCATACTGACAAACCTGACAAAACTCAGTGGCGTCTGACAGACTTTAAACAAGCAAACAAGCCTGTAGGTAGGAAGAGGTGAAATTTCTCACTGACAGCTGCCTCAGGTCATTTAAACTCAACCGCTGCTTATCCTTTAACATCAAGCTTCTCTGAGACATTGCAACTACCACTATGGAAAATCATTAACAGATTTTAAGGCAAAACCAAAAAATCTAAGCTACTCGCAAGTGAACCAAAGAACGAACACAAGCAAAAAGCTGTTCCCTCATCAGGTCTCCCCAGAAAGCATTGCCAACAGTCACGCATCTAGTTATATTTCTCACAGCAGCTTTAGAAGATCCTTCCCTCAATGCACTTGACCCACACAGGCTTACTTGCCACATTTGAAAGTTTCCATATCTGTTCACAGAGCTAATGTTTGTTTGGAGGCAAGGAATACATCCCCAACCTTTAATTACCAAAGAAGGGGATTAATTAGCTAGTGATAGCAAGATCATTTATAGTTGGAAACTAGCACTACATTTCCAGGTATAACATCCTTATAGGAATTTTGGGCAAGAAAACTGACAAGACAGCTCCATCCAGCAGTGCCACTATGCTATGTATGCACTGTGTATAGACAAAAGTGCAAGGCAATGCTATTTAAGCACAAAAGATCCTTCTGCAAGGTTTAACAACAGGCAGTGTAGAGAGAAGTGCGTCTCATCAATACTGTGTGGTAACACCTGAAAGGTAAGAGGGTCCCTTATCCCTCCGAGCACTGCTCATGTGTTCATCCTTACCAAAACTACACAGAACCACACTGGAATTTTGCTCGCTTATGAAATAGTGGAAACTTTTACAGTAAATAGACATTTTTCTACAGCAAGCTATAACAAAACTAAACAAACCAAAAAAGTATCATTTAAGTACTTACCATTTGGATGAAACATTTTGGAGACAAATCTAACAGTAGGTGGCTTATTCGGATATTCTTCTGTGAATTCTATTGTAAGTTTGAAAGTTCCTGGAGTTGAAAGAGAGACAAGCAACCTTTATTCAGAATGAATTTACACAAGGGATGAGCAAGCAGCATCCCTCCACAAGTGCAAACTGATACTGCTGCACTCACACACACGTGCTGGATACAGAATACAGACTGCTCAGTCCTACAACAATTCTCCTCCTCTTTGGAGTTATTCATTAACTCTGAAGTCCCACACAGTACTGGTCCAAGACTATCTTGCATGACTTACTTCCACTGCCAAAACCACCACCCCAGTCAAAAGATTTGTGTAAGGAAATAAATCCATCCCTTCCACAAAGCCTAATCCCAGTGCACCGTAAAAACACCACAAGTGGGTGTACAACCATCTGTGTAACAGGCCATGATTCAGCAACCCCTACAGACCGAAATATGCTCTCATGACAAGGACCTTTTTATTTATTTCCTGCTTAAATTTCAAGAAATAAATTTTTATTCAACTCTAAGGTAACTGGGTCTTATTGGAGCAAAGTATTACTGAAAGCAACATCCAAATCAGACACTTTAAAAGAAAAATCTGATCGTTTACCTCATACTAACTAGTCTTCCTTTGAAAAAAACTGATTAAATGGAAACAGAAAACTGCAGTTAAGTCCCAATCCAATAATTTTAACAGCCTGCACCACCATCAGTTGTTTTAGCCCTTCTCCTCAGGCTATGACGATCTGAGAAGTCTGTCAACTAAGCTGCATAAGTATCTGTCCAAGGGACTAAGCACTCCTAGTGATTCAGATCAGTAACTAAGGAACCCTACACACTCCAAAACACGCAAGCTTCTCTTTACTGTGCTACTGCCTCAGACCACTCCAGGAGGCAGTTTATGAAGTTCCTGGGAATGCCCAGAGAGAAATATCTGCAGCACCATCATATAAATACACAGCTCTCCTGTTAAAGGAATGTATCTTACAGTAATAGCTGGAACAAGCTGCCAGGGTGGACATGTTGCTTTTTTGGAAAAGGCATTCTTATGCATCAGTGACAGGTTTTCCCTCCTCCAACACTCAGTGCCTAAATTAAAATTCAGGGGCTCAGATCTAAAGCTCATCCTTGCTTCCTACTGTTAGAGCGTCTTCCGGCACTAATACGATCAATGCATTCCTTCATCTAGCTGGCAAACATGTGCCAACAGTTGGTGGCCAGGGAACAGATTTTTCAACCCCCCCCTTTTTTTTTTTTTTCAGATCAGTAAAGACCTGCAGTATTTCTCAGGGACTCCCTCCTTTATAAGGAGATAAACTGTAACACTGAATTGCAAGAAATGAAGGTCACTGCTTTGACGTTGCAGTTTGCATATGAAGACACAGTACAGATGCTTCAGAGCTTTTTGTACATCAGTGTAAAATCTCAACATCCTAAAAATAAGTTTTTGCACGTTTGTTATGTATTAGTAACCTAATAACACATGAGCAGAGAGACAGCAGCATGCTATCTTACTTTAAAACAAAAGGAGTATAGTTAAGAGTGTTCAAATTAGCAGAACTCTGCAGCAGGGCTTTTGAGCTTTACTCCGGCTAATCCAGAGGCACGGAGCCAGAGCCGAGATCAGTTTGAGAGCCAGGACTGGTAAGTTAGTAACAACTTTTACCAGCTGGAAACATCAGGTCAGGGCTGCCCTTTTCCTTCCCTGCACAAGGACAATCGCAAGCACTATCGGCCCTTTAGGTTCAAAGGCTTTGAGATTTGACTCTAAATGTTAAGAGATTCCCAGTTCTGGTTCTCAGCAGCCTCCTCACCAGGCAGGAAAGCAGGCACTCTCTTCTGTGGCACTGTGCCTAAGGAAGCAGTAGGCTGAAAACAAACCATCAAATAGCAGAGTTCAAGAAGCACACTTGAGAAAACGAACGCTATTATAGAATGCTGACTGAAGTGGGAGCATAGGGGACAGACAAGATGGCCAGAAGGTAGTAATAAGGGCAGCTTGGTCTTAAGAGTCCATTTAAAACCCCTGAAAGAAATGAAGCTACCTGTCCAGGGACAGGGCAGCACTACTTTTACCACTGAGTGGTCAGACAGCTTCCAGCTCTATCTACCTACTCAAATTTCTGTCAAGACCCAGAACGGCAATGGCTCTCTGAAAGCTCTACAGTACGTAACGCTTGGCTCTTGATATTTATTAAAGGACAAATCCACAGCAATTTGATGAAACAAAGTCCAAGGGTCACTCACATGGGAAGCCCACAAGGCGAAAACAGTATCACAGCACACACTGCTGGGGACAAGGCCTTCAGGGTCCAGTCTCTCCTGTCACTAATTTTAAAGTTCTCAACTGGTATTCCTTGCAACTTACCCTAGATAGCTGATTCTAACACATAAATTACCACATACACTGCCATTATTGATATTAGGATCACCACAGATCTTAGGAAAACATTCTCTCTTCTCTCCTTTACTTACCTCGCTGTTCTGTTTCTCCTACACTGCGGGACGTGCGACCCACTAACAGGGAGGCCCCCCTCCTGACCTGTCTCCTGCCAGAGCAGCACCCATGTTCCTGCCAGGCCCTTCTCCCTGCAAGGAGTGAGAGCAGCCCCCTCTATTTCACTGTTCATAAAGCAGGGGCAAGCTTTCCTCTCCGACATGAGGATAGAGAGAACCCATGTTCCATAAGCAAATGCCTCACTTTCTCCGTTCAAGCCTCCTGCACAGTCCCAGAAAGGCAGGATGCTGCAACAGCTGTTACTTAACTCCCCAAGCCAGGAATCCTGCACTAACCACAGTATCATCATCCACTTTCAGAGAAACAGGTCTGGAGGACTGGCAGAGCCTGGGTTCCCACCACTGTGACAGCACTACCACTTCAGCTGCCACATGCATATGGATCCTTAGAAATACGGTGAAAGGCAGGATAAATATCCCCGGGGTCCTACTGCAGACACCTGCAATCGAATCCTCTTACACCAGAAGATGGAAGTTATGCTGCTGAGCTAAATTAGTAGCTGCTCCTAGGCCAAGTCAGCCTGCGCAGAGAGTTGTGAAAACACCCTCGAAAGTCTGGGGGCGGAGGGGAGGGAGGGTTTTTATCTGCATTATGCTGCACAGCAAGTAAACAAACGTGACTGAACTTAAGGTTTTTCAGTTCAAACACAGCTAAGAAACCTCAGAAGTTGGGACTAGAGAAGGGCCTCACCAGAATAGGGATAAAGAACAGTAATTCTCATGGCGTTGAAATTATTACACTTCTAATTCAACAATAACAAATATTTCACAGGCTACTTTCACAAGAACTATGGTATCTGAAGTCTTACAGTATCACCAGAAAGGGACAGAGCCTAAAAATAAAAATAGAAAGCAACTTCTGAAGAACCCTGCCATGCAAAGGCTTCAAGAGAAAGATCAGAGCTCAGGTGTACCTTTGACTCACAAGGGCCTGCACCGTTACAAAACAAGCTCAATACTGTTCAATAAAAATTCCCTAATTTTACCTACATTTATCTAAACTGCATCTGAACTGTGCTCCGCTATCCACTTAACGCAACAGCACAGCCAAGGCACCAATACACCCGTATCTCTAGGCACCACTTAGTATTTTGTAATCTAGCACAATGTAAGATATGTCCAGGGAAAAGGAGATAAGCATATCCTGCAACACAAGACATATCTGCTTTCCTGAGCGTGTGCTGTGAAAACACACACTTTGCTATGAGCAGGGCCACCCATCACACACCGCGATTGTATTATTAGATCAACCAAAGCAGCAGGACAGCAGGAGAGGACTCGAGCATCTGTTTCAACTTCAAACTGCTGTGCATGCAGCATGTCTTAAGCATTTGTGACAAAGACACAATGCTGCCAGAGTGGAGAGCACGGAGGAAATCAATATGCCAGGGCTCTCAAAAGCAGTCACCAACCTTCTGCACCTAAATGGAAATATATGGGGAAAAAAAGCCCTTATAGCATCTGTTAACTCCACTATGAGCTGGAAGAGACCAACCATGGACAAATCCTGCATTTTAGCACACTGCAAGGAGAGTGCTTTCTGCTCCGAACAGAATGACAGTGCACCAAGAACCTAAACTTCTAGGGGGGTTGCTAGAGCTTTTTAAGGCAGCCCTTCTTGAGGATTTACAACATGAGATAACAGAACACATGTAGTCTATCTACTCTGTTATGTGATGCTATGCAATACTCCAGATCTAAACACTAGATTTCTAAAGCAGCTACTATAGCAACCTTCTTAACTAATTAACTACATTTTTAGAATTGGAGTCTTTGGTGTTTCTTTAGGCCTGAAATGTTTCAAATTTTCACAGAGAAAAAAAATAAATCTGCAATTTACAGGCATGCCCACAGGTGCCACCTCCGAGGATAAACAGAGACAAAGGAGTTAGCCAAGAACAACATAAGAGTTAAGGAATTTTTCCTATGCTTTTGCCATGAGTCATGAAGATCTAGGATTAATTATAGCTTGCACTGAAAGTATCTTAAAAAAAAACAACGCATCACTGATTTCAGTTAGACAGTATTTCACGTCTAACAAGTTTTCGCAAAGATACTGAAGTATTCCTACAGCATCAGTAAAGCTATGAAAGACAATAAGGCTAGACAGAAACTACTAGGACACTGGTATGTTACAAGGACCTATTTAATCAGATTTTAAAGTTAAAAAGTCCTTTTAATCTTTAACCCTGAATGATACTGATTGCAGCAGAGTAAAGTAGATGCCAAGAAAAAAACAAACACCTGTTCTGAATTCCTCAAACACTCGGCCCATTTCCTACTCCAGCTGAGTCACATTTGGATTTACTTGCAAAACTCTTTCAGCATCAGAAAAAGCAGAATTCAAAGCAAAAGCAAGTGACAATGGTTCTATACCGGGTATCTGACAGTTCTTCAGATACGAACGTCCCTGAAAACATGATCCAAGGTTCAACAGAAAAAGATCTTTAAAAACGGTATGTTAAATTAGGCTTAGAACAGTCAGACTTAGCGATTACAAGCAAGCCCCTACAAGCTAATTCGCATGTTTCTGTAAACCAACACAG